CAGAACAGATGTGTATGTATATATTTTTTCTCCTTAGACTCTTGAGAAGCCTTATTTTGTGAGCAATAAGAGTGTGTCAGACTTAAGGAGAAATTTCCCTGCAATCTTTTTTTCAACTCTGGCAACTATAAGAGAGAAGATTACTTCTTAGGTGCTGTTTATCATCCTGAAACTTAATGATTTTAGCATGTTTTGGGAGAGAGTTTGTATAAAAAATGGATAAATGGAAACAGACAGCAATTCAATAGTATTTTAACAGACATGGGTAGCTTAATACGGGAAGTTTCTAAATACGCAGTCAGGAGGCAGGACTTCTAGTTCTGACTTGATTACAAAACAGCTCTCTAAGGCTCAATTTGTTAGAAAAATGAAAGGAGTTGGTCAGATTGACAGAGTACCTTAATGGAAGCCAGGGATGGAGGGGAAGGGAAGGGAAAGTGAGAGGGAGGAAAATGGAAAGTTGACAGGAAGGAAAGAGAAGGAAACTGTGAAAATAGAAACTGACAGTATAGTTTGTACTCTTTTTGGTCCAATGTATGAGGAAAATCCCGTTTACTTTCTTAACAAGTAATTGGTCAACAAATATTGAGCAGTTACTATGTTTAAGGCACTGTACTAAGTGCTGGAGATACCACAGTAAACAACAGAGAAATTTCTCTTCCCTCATGAAATTTGCCTTCTAGAATGGGGACAGAATTCAAGCAACTAATTTAATAAATACTTATTTGACAACTGGCATGCTATAAAGAAAAATCTCTAAGAGAAAATGAGAACAAATACAGAGAAACTCGACCTACAATAAGAGATCAAGGAGAGTGGCATTGAGGAAATGACATTTTTGCTTAGTTCTAAAAGATGCATGTGAATTTAGGAAAAGAGGAGAAGAAAACCAGAAGAGGACAGAGTCCTGGGTGTCAGGTGAAGAAAGGGTTACAAGAAGGAAGTAATCCTCTGTGTGAAATGCTGCAGATAGGTTAGAAAACTCAAGGGTTCTGAGAATTGTCTCTTGGATGTAGCAACACGGAGGCACTAAGTTTTGGTGAAGTTCTGGGCGTGAGAGCTTAATTGGAAAAGGTTCAAAGGAGAGGAGATTCCACATATGAGTGAGATCATACAGTATTTGTCTTTCTGTGTCTGGCTTATTTCACTTAGCATAATGTCCTTTAGTTTCATCCATGTTGTCACAAAGGACAGAATTTCCTTCTTCTTATGGCTGAATAATATTCCATTGTATGACTGTACCACATTTTCTCTATCCATTTATCCATTGATGGACACTTAGGTTGTTTCCCAGATATGGAAACATAGCTATTGTGAATAATGCTATAGTGAACATGGGAGGTACTGATTTCATTTTCTTTGAATATATACAGATGTAGGTTGCTGGATCATATGGCAGTGGTATTTTTAGTTTTCTGAGGAACCTCCATAATGGTTTTCATTGTACAGCCATGCACCACATAACGACATTTTGGTCAGTGACAGACTGCATATATGACAGTGGTCCCATAAGATTAGTACCATATAGCTTAGGTGTTTAGTAGGCTATACCATCTAGGTTTGTGTAAGTACATCCTATGATGTTCGCACAATGATGAAATCGCCTAACAATGCATTTCTCAGAACATATCCCCATGTATGTATGTAGAAAAGAATGTAGAAAATAAGAAATAACAGCACATGATTCCTTCCTCCAGGATGATCCTAGTTAGAAAGCTCCAAATGTGCAACAGATATGAAAAGCCAAGTTACAAAATAATAATTTAACTATGAGACACTAGCAGAGATATCATAAGGCTTATGATAGTGTGTCAAATGAACTCTACAATTAATACATGTTTTATGCTTAGAGGAATAAAAAATTACTCTGAGGAAGTGGTCAGCAAAATTTTTAAATGGGCTCTTCATTTTTGTACTGTATTCTTGACTATTATTAATTTTCATCATGAATTAATAAACATAAATATTACTACCTAAAGAGACATCTTAAAATTTTCCAGATTATTTTTTAAAGAATTATTATTAATTTATGTATAGTTACATGAGAATGAGTCAGATGTATTTAATAAGCCTTAAAAAGTCATACGAGCATAAAAATACTTTGCTTGTATTAATAATAGTGTACATTTGATTTAAATCTAACAGTAATGCTTATAGTACTCTTCTTTTTTTTACCATCAGCACTACAGCATCAAACCATAAAGTTCGTCTTCCTTTTGAACTTTGCTATCTTGTGAAATTAAAATGCTGCTATATACATGCGGTGGCAAACATTTCTAAGCTGCAATCAAAGATTCTGTATTTGGAATTAGAAATAATTTAAGTCGTTGTCTGGTTTTCAGTTTGCCAAGGACTGCTATTTATATAAGAACGTTACCTTATGCTATTACTTTAACTGTTTTTTTAAGTCTGTTTCAATATTTTAGCACAACAAAAAACTTATAAAACGTGCAATACTTATAAGCAACATTATTTGTTATAGCTAAACAAATAATTCACTTTTTAAAATACTTATTTTGATTTGCATTGCTAAATTCATAGCTTTATAACTAGAGAAAGCAAAAGCTTGATGTCCTCCAAAGTAAGTTTTAATTAAGGCTTTTTATCTCAGTTTTTTTGTTTAATTCAATATATTTTCCTCAATTTTGTCTTAGTAATATACAGCCTGCTTCTGTGAAAAAAAAATCACCCCATGAAAAGTCAGAGTTTAATTCTCCTGAAAATTTTTTCCTACGGTTAATGATATAACCAGACATATCAAAGGCTTAATTACATGCTTCAATGACTTAGCTCCATGAGAATCTCAGAGAAGATGACCCAAAATACAATAAATACAATTATATATTTCATATTCTCTGCGTGAAGTATGTTCCTTCTTGGTTTTGTGCACATATATTTGACTCCAAACAACCAGTCAGTTCTTTGAAAAGTATCAAACTAGCTCATATATATGTATAACATTATAGAGCAAGTAAAATAACTACTTATTGATTGGATTCTTCACTTTTCAAAAGATTTTCTTGGTGACATGTAGAAACAGTGTTAGAGCTGTCAAGTGCTTCAGTTTCAGTGCCCATGCTGAAATGGAGTTTATTTTAAAAACCAGATTATAAAAAAATAAGTTGTAGGAATTTTGAAAATACAGCATTCATATCATTGAATGTCTGGAGGACTGATTCTGCAAAGCAATTGAATAGACATGACAAAAGGAGACCTTTCCTAAAACCTTTACCCCACCCTGGATGGGTAGAATATATTGACCTGCATCAATCAGTTCACCCAAATTCCCTCTAGAAGTACAGAGATCTACTCCGGGAGAAATTTGGAATCTTAGGTGATCATTTATAAAGTCGTTTGCACACCTTGAAAGGAAGTCATTAAATAAATGCTACATTTTTTGGCTCATTAATAATTTTATCATGTTCATCCTCAGACTTTCAGAGAGCTTAGCAAACTATACTAGGTAAACTGTATCAGCATACATAATAAAAAGCCATGAGGTTGGCACATTTCCTTAAGAACAGAACTACAAGTCTCCTAAGTACCTGGACTGATCATAGTAATTGATCATGTGAAATTTAGCTGGCCAAGAAGGGAAGTGAAGAGGACATATGGTGACCTAGAGGTGTGGGAAGGTGGGAAGATCGGTACATTAGAGGAGGAAGGATTGTTGGACTTGGAGTGCTGTAGGAGATGCACTAGAAATGCGAAGGTGGTAGTTGGAAAATGGGATACTGGGAGGGATTACAACCTTTGCAGATGCCAACATAAAGCATATGACCACAGGAATGGGTGGAGGAGAGAACCTCGAGAAACTGAGAGGTCAGAAAATTGGAAGGTGAATATTGAAATCACCAAGAATTATATCAGAAGTGGTGTTTGAGTGCCTGGGTTTGAACCCTGGTACTACACACTTACCAACTGTATGTCCTTGGGCAAGTTACATAGCCTGCCTCAGTTTCCTCATTTGGTAAAATTAGGGTCATGATAGTATATTTCTCATACTTGTGAGGATTAAACAATTTAATACTTATAAAACCCTTAGACAGTATGTGGCATTTGTTAAATGATAGGTAAGTGTTAGTACTATTATCCTGATCATCATTATGATCAACTGCTGTGTGAGTCTGCTTTTCATTCATTCAAAATTTATTAAGCAACTATCATGTGCCAGGTATTCTTTTTAAACTTGTCTGATTTTTGGCTGTTTTGTGCCTCAGGAATTTCAAGTTGATCAAAAACAGTACACTGCAGCCTCACCAAAAAGTTATTCTTGAAGGCTATGCCATGAGTTCTGCTTGCTAAAGTAAAATCCTGTTTAATGAGAATATAGACCCAGAGGAAAATGAGACAGGCCAAAACAGTGATTACTTGGATCTGGAAACTAGATTTGTTCATGATGGCAGAAGAGATGCTTGGAGCAGGCCCAGCTATAGGCCATGAAAGAGAATCTAGCCATATTGCTGAAGCATGATGATATCCAAAATATGTGGTGATAGGAATTAGGAGGCAGTGAAGATGGGAAGTTACCATTCTGGTGTTCCAACATGAAACAATGGGATAATGTCCTGGCAGGCAGCTGAAACACAAGGGGCTGCTATCTTGGAGGTTGACTATGAAGATATAGACACTTGGGCATTAGGGAATAAGACAGAGATCCAGAGATCCAGTTACTGAAAATGAAGTAAAATCACTAAAATAATGATCCTCTTTGTAAAGGAGCACACTCTTAAAAGTCTGGGGCTCCTAAGAGAGCAAACCTAGGCTGTCATTCATTATTTATAAAAAGTGCCTTAAGTCTGTCTTATCACCTGGCCAATTGCCACAGGCAGTTTCACCTTCTGGCTCAAAACACACATATTTTTCATCTACACAAATGCCAACCATAATGTTGCATATGAGTGAGTGTGTTTTGCAAACTGTAGCTAAAAATCAGTATAAGTTTGAGCGGACATGGGGAAGAAAAACAATGTGATGTGAATTTTGTTCTCTGTGTTTAGGCAAGCTACGACCTATATCTATGCCAGTGGAATATAATTGGGTGGGGGACTATGAAGATCCAAATAAGATGAAGAGAGATAGTAGAAGAGGTAAGTGTTCTAGAATTTCAGTGTAGGCTGGGTTGTTGGAAGAAAAAGCAAATTTAAATGTTCTTTAAATAGGATGTTATGGCTTCAGTGGAAAACTTTTCATTCGCTCATTGACTTGATGGTACGCCCAAAGCAACTGAGATCAAAGTTTGACTATCTTGATCCGTTATTAAGTATCTATCTTCTCTGAATGCCTCATAAGGGATTCAGGGTAGATAAGTACAGTGCAAAAAATGAATATCTGATTGTTATTTGAAAGTTAATATTTGGAAAACAAGGTCAGAAGTGTGAAACTGCATAAAAGAATTAAGATCAGTAAATAGAGTTTGTGATCAATCCCCATTGGTCCGCAATGCAACCTCATTACTTTGCTATTAATACAACCTTAAAATGAGCATTGAAGCACATGGGTAAAAGCTAATGGAAACTGAGCCAGTGACTCTAATGAAAACCATATAGAAATGGAAAAAAACTGCTTTGCTTTTTTTTCTCTTCTGTTTGCTGTTCAGGGTTATCTTCTTACTTGGGGGTGGGCTACACTTGAAGTATCTACCAAAAGTAAGTTTTTATGTTCACTTATCCTGCTATTGAGGTGAGCAGTAAAAGGAGCAACTGAAAGTCTCACTACTAAATGGGATTTGACCAAGTGTGGATATGACGGGCCCAGTGGGTCAGGCTGCCACTTCCACTTTCTGAAATAGCCATAAGATTGTAGATGAAAAATAAAAGAAATCAAAACAAAACAAAAAACTATTCATAGAGCCTAAGCTCACTGAGATTCCTTCATGATATGTTTAACTCACTTGTCTGTTACTTCTAGTCAGTGTACAGAATTTATTCTATTACCACACAGATCCACAGGCCACACAGGAATAAAAGCAAGCATGAGTATCTACTTCTTTAGTCTTTTTAACACTTGTTTTATAGAGCAAGCATGCAGGAACATTGACAGATTCCTTTGCATCTGTGTATTCATTCCATTTTCCAGACTTCAGTTTCTAATCTCATTTGTTTTATAGAATTAATCAAGAAAAACTAAATAAAAAGAGAAACCCTTGTCATATGCCATTTCTGAGTCACTCTTTTGGGACTTCATATGGTAGTGACATCTTGGGGAAAAACAGCCTTATGAAGTACTAAGTGCTAGCTATCAATTTAGGCGTGGATTTTATGAACTAAGTTTCCTGACTATTGGTTCATAATGTGGGCTTTAACTTCTCCAAGGATGCTACCTAGCCTGCCATATGTCAGTGTTTGTCATCAAGTTTTAGCAGAATCCCCCTGGGGGAGCTTGTTAAGAATTTTATGAGCCACACACCCAGGACTTACGATTCAGGTTCCTTAGGTGATTCTGATACAGCTGATCCAGAGATAAAACTTGAAGTAATTTATAGGCTATTTCTTACTGCCCTATGATCCCAAATAATTAAGATTCTCCATATTTTCACTACATAGATATTTTGTAAATTAAATTAAGCTACCTTTCTGAAGTGATATCTAGTAGCCCAATTGGGAAAGAATGGTAAATGTGGAATATTTGCATATTAATATTGGTGTATTTATCTCTTTTTATATAGAAAACTCTCTACTCCGATATATGAGCAATGAAAAAATTGCTCAAGAAGAATACATGTTTCAGAGAAACAGCAAGAAAGATACAGGGAAGAAGTCTAAAAAGAAGGGTGATAAGAGTAATAGCCCGACTCACTATTCATTGCTACCTAGTTTGCAAATGGATGCATTGAGACAAGACATCATGGGCACGCCTGTGCCGGAGACCACACTATACCATGTAAGTAAAATTTCAAAGACTCTGCGATACAGCTTTTATTGGGAGACTGGCAAATGACTCTTTTGGCTAAACTCCAGATTATTTATTTTTAACCTATTGCCAGATTTTCATAAAACATCCTAACTTTAGAATTTCTGCCCTTGGAAGAAATATGATGGCTTATTGATTTGTTCTTTGGTTTGTATGTTCAGTGAGTTCATATGTTGGAGCAGGTTTGATTTTTAATGAAGTAATGTGCACCAAATTGCTGGAGAATAGTAATTAATTAGCTGACTAATCATCAATGTGATTATACACAGTAAATGGGTAGCTGTAAAATTCAACATTAAAGATAGAATTTTTAATATATTCATGATCTCATTTGAAAGTGAGCATCTACTATGTACTAGACTTGGAGCATTGTGCTTGAGATGAAAATGGGGAAACATAGCACACCATTATATGGAGAGAAAGACACACTGAGAGTCCTAGTGTAATTTGACTGTTGTAATGGGTGGGTACAAGAAGTGTAGGAAGAGCATAGGAGAAGGAGGGCCTTAGTCTGCTGGGGAAGTGAGAAAAGGCTTCAGATTGGGAAGCATTTGGGTGGAGTGTAGGATGAGTAGCAGTATTTTTGTGGAAAGGCATATGGAGGTGCGCCACAATTGTGTAAGAATATGGCATGTTTCAGGGACTTCATATGACTAAGAATTACTGGTTCATTAAAAATTGAGGGACGGTGTGTGAGGAAGAGGCAGTATGATGGACCTGGAGAGGTAGACAAGGCTTCAATCAAGAATTTTATGATAAAGTGCTTAGGCTCTTTCCTGCAAGGATAAAGAGCTATTGAAGACTTTTCAGCCAGGGACTTGCATGATGACATTGGCCTGTTGGATCTCTCTGGTGCAGAGCATTGATCAAGAGGTGTGAAGCCAAAGGCAGGGCTATTAAGCCCAGGCCAAATGGATGAGCAACTAGGACAAATGGCAGTGTGGATGCTAAGAATCTTGTTATCCAAAATATTCAATTCACAAAATCACTCATTTTATGCCATTTTGGTTAAAATGGAGTTTCTTGTGCCAATGGACCTATAGCTTCTTATTAGGAATGCTTGAAAAACATGGACTACAAGTTTTTAAGTAATTTAAACAACTGTGCTTAATGCTCAGAATGTCAAAAAAACTTAATCTGTCACTGCTGTAGAAGCTGTAGTTACCTAGGTATACAAGGTGTGAAAGATTTAATAACTTGTACTTGAGTCGCTTTTCTGAGTAAATCTTTTAAATCATCTACTTATTCTATAGCTCTCTCATAAAACTAGAGTGTATAAAAATATTTTCCTTTATTTTAATTGCAGTAGGAGTGCAGCTAGCACTCCTAGGTGCTCATTCTCTACCCTCTCCTGTCCCCCGTTACATACCCCCAAGCCTCTTCCTCTCCAAGAGAATAGTGTCCGTATCAAAACGTGCTCCTTTAAATGACTGACTGATCAAATTGTTACTTTTTCCAGAGATATTTGCAGTCAGTCTGAAAGTAATGCTGCTAGCTGTATGAAGGGGCCACTTTTGCTACCACTAGTCAGAAATGCTGTCTGAACAGTGAGCTCCCTCTAGAATCTGGTGTTCTGGTCATAAGTAATAGCCTGAACAAAGATCTAAACATAAGAAACAGTTGGCCTGTTCAAGAGGGAAGTTGGTAGTGAGAGATGAAGCTGGAGAGGGAAGAAGAGGCCACTTCACCTAGAGCATGTAAACTGTTAAAGAGTTTGGATTTATCCTAAGAAGAGGGGTAAGCCATTGAAGGCGCATCTAAAGACTCAGTCTGTGCCATCCTGTCATGCACATCCAGACAGAAGTATACTGTGTGAGGAAGGAAAATAGAGATGAGTCTTGTGGATTTTGAGTTATTAAGTTACAGAAGATAGTAAAAGGTGAATGAAACTGGTAATCAGGAATATTGAGAGTATTGTCTAGGAGCATAAATTGTTACCACTTTTCTGAGGGGCATTATTTAGCTATATGTATCAAGAACCTGGTCTGGTAACTTGACTTCTAGAAGTTTATTCCAAGAAAGAAATCAGAGAGTCAGCTTTTGCCTCCTACTTTTATTATGTGTCCTAAGTCTGTAATATGGTATTTCCCAGATGGATGATATTTATCCCAACTAATTTTTGACAGAAGGACAGCACAGAGTAAGGAATATTGTTAATGATGGGGGTAAGTGCTTCTAACTCTGTTCTCTGGTTTAAAAGAAGCTAAATAATTGTTAGCTCCAAAATGCATGTTAGATGCCTATAATCCACGTTCAAAAAGAGAGGGGTTTTTACTAGACTCTGAGTTCGCTTGAGGACCTTGTTTAGTACGTTCACAGATAGCAAGGAAGTTTCCACATTTGTTACATATTTTGAACCTCACAGCAACTATATTTGCAAATGACAAAACTCAAACTCAGAAAAGTTAAATGATTTACCCAGAGCTGTATTGCAAAAAAGTCTAAGAGTAAGGACTAGAACCCAAATCACCTACTCCAGTGATGTCTCCACACTACCTTGGTTCTCTGTGCATGGTAGGCATTCCATACACAAATGAATGTGTGCTTTAATGACTTGAATGAGTGAATTTTGAAAATGTTTGACTTTAAGAACATGTGCCTTCATATGTGGATTTAATAACGTTTTCAGTACCTGGATTGATTTCTACCCACATTTCTCTTTTGCACTATGTTACTGTTATTAAGTTTGGAAAAACATACAGAGCTGCTGCTGTTATAAAGCACGAATAGTTATTTAGCATGATCTGTTGCTGAGAGTACAGAGAATGTAGTTAAAATTACCTGGACCTCAGAGGCATAACAACATACACTTAAATGATTGCTTTTTTTTTTTCCTGCTTTTTTCTCTTCAAATTCCCCCAGTACATAGCTGCACACTTTCATTGTGGGTCCCTCTAGTTGTGGCATGTGGGATGCCACCTCAGTGTGGCCTGACGAGTGGTGCCATGTCCGAGCTCAGGATCCAAACCGACAAAACCCTGGGCTGCCTCAATGGAGCGCACAAACTTAACCATTTGGCCACGGGGCCGGCCCCAAAATTCTTTTTTTTTTTTTGAGCAAGATTAGCCCTGAGCTAACATCCGCTGCCAATCCTCCTCTTTTTGCTGAGAAAGACTGGCCCTGAGCTGACATCCATGCCTGTCTTCCTCCACTTTCTATGTGGGACGCCTACCACAGCATGGCTTGCCAAGCTGTGCCATGTCCACACCCGGGATCCAAACTGGCGAACCTCAGGCCGCCAAAGTGGAACGTACGCCCTCAACCACTGCACCACTGGGCCAGCCTCATAAATGATTGCTTTTTATATTTCATGGGAATTCTGATTTTATCTTTTTTATCTGTTTATACAGTCTTATTTACAAATGAAAGGATTTTTCCTGATATCAGATTTTCCTGAAACACAAGATCAATATGTAATACAGTCACCTTCATGATGGACAACTAATCTTCATTCTTACCAATTATTCCTTTGGATAACACAGCCATTTTTGGTGGAATAGGACTTAAGTGGAAGAGGACTATGAAGATTTTGAATACTGAGTTTTGTAGGCTGCTGCCTCTGCTGTAATACTAGTTCCGTGTGGTCTGAGTTCAGATTTACAGAAAACTTAATTAAGTTTAATAGCAGGATCATACCAGCATTAAATACTCTAAGACAATTTCCTGAAGGGGTATATATGTGTGTATGTGTGTGTAGGGTCTTCCTTTGAAGCAGACCTAGATTATAATTCCCATTGGTCTATTTTGGAAAGTAGCCCAATAAATACACACAAAGCAAAGCAAACACAGTTTGGCTTCAGTGTTTTACTCATTCCTCTTAGCAATTATAGCAGAAATGTTTATATAATAATAAGGAAGATTTAGAAGTTTATGGTATTGTAAAATATACAATTTAATTTTTTTATTGATTCCATATGTTTATTATTCCAGTTTATATGTTTTTTCTCAAACTTACTTTAAAGGAAATCATTCACTGTGCTCGAACTACTCTGTTCATGCACCAGTCTTTGCCACCTCTCTCCTTTCCAACATGCTGTTTCCTCTGCTGAGAATGCTTTTACCCATTTTTTCCCCCAACTGGCTCCTATCTAAACCTGGAATTGCCGAGACTTTCCCTGACCACTTCCCCCTGAACTAAATCACTTTCTCCTAGTGTAGTCTCTTGGCACCCTGTATATTTTCTTCAAAACCTTTCTTATGATTTGTAATTATATATTTATGTGATATCTGCTTAGTGTCTTTCTCCACTGTACGTGGTAGTGGCGGCATGTCCATGTCCATGACAGGAAAGGAGAATTTCCCTATTTTGTTTAGCACTATATTTCAATGCCTAGTGTAAGTATAGCACCTTACAAGTACTCAATAAAAATGTGATGAATAGGGGCTGGCCTGGTGGTACAGCAGTTAAGTGCACACGTTCCACTTTGGCAGCCTGGGGTTCGCCAGTTCGGATCCCGGGTGTGGACATGGCACCACTTGGCAAGCCATGCTGTGGTAGGTGTCCCACATAGAAAGTGGAGGAAGACAGGCATGGATGTTAGCTCAGGGCCAGTCTTTCTCAGCAAAAAGAGGAGGATTGGCAGCGGATGTTAGCTCAGGGCTAATCTTCCTCAAAAAAAAAAAATTTGATGAATAAATGAATGAACGAGTGAGTGAATGTGACAGGAAGTCCAATGCCTTTCTCAGTATTTCTCAGTTGATATCCTAAGCCTGCAAACAGAGCCACCTCCATGCTCTAGGCCAGCTCTGCCCAGCATAAGCAAGCCTTCAGTTGGAGTGTATTAGTAGTGGGAACTGTCAGAAACTTATTTCCGTAGGCCCAGTGTTCCATGTGCCTGGGGAGAGCCCTAGGACTCTCAGTGTCTTCTGTCGTGTTTGTCTAGTCCATATGACTCAATTCTACTTTGTTTTATTGATTAACATTCCATTTTACTCCAATGATTGGAGCCCTGCCCTTATTGGCCCATCCT